CTTTTTATAACCTAAAAGCTTCCATCTAAGACTAAAAAGAGATGGATATTATCGATCTAAGAAGAGATGAGAAAATGTTGAGGTTGAGGTATTATTCAGTCCTGGAGACGGTAAAGTCAGGATCTTTGGAAATGTTAAGGGTATTATCCACAGCCTTGCTGTCGTACCTTCTACAAACCACGTGTTTCAACCACTGACAGGACAAAAACAGGATCAAAACAGGAAACCATTCAAGGTGAAAAAGCTTTTTCTGCATGATGATCATGATTTCATGTAACTGAAACACAGATGAAAAGAGGGGTGAGTTTTTAAGCTATTCTACGGTTTCAAAAAGCAAAACGGTTCAATGTCAAAGCTGTGTTGTTTTTCTGTGAAAATTTAATGAACATAAAAAAAAAATAAAGACATTGAGCTCACAAGATGACAGCCAAAGCTTTTATGATAGAGGCTTTTTCAATTTGTTTTCTGACTTTAAACTGCCCTATTTCATCCTTAATGAAACTAAGGAGCCCAAATGTAATCAAAATAGAAAATTATAAAGGACTGATCAAAACAAATGTTTATCAGGGTGGAATAAACCTTTCTAATTATATTTATTGGGATGCCAAGTTAAAATTACCAGGGTTTAACTTTGTTTTATTAAATCAGTTTTATGAATAAAGGGATCTTTATTTAGTTTAAATGTTGTCCATGGATTTTTAGAGTAATTCAGTTTAATTGTCCAGCGGATTCTACATTTATGGGGAGCTAAAAGTTGCGGTGATGAAAAAAAAAGGCGTATTTTGGTCTCTCAGATTTGGAGCAAATTCTTTACAGAAATATTTTCAAATATTCTCGATGCAACATGCATAACGCTGGCCAGCAATCATAACATCGGTCAATGAAAATAAATATAACTTTATTTTTCAGTGGTTTGAATGATTTTGAGTTTAAAAAGATTGAGTCTTGATTTCTCTGAGGTATTGATTTCTTTATTTTTACATTTGTACGCCAGTAGCTCAATGGTTGCATAAGGTATTTCTGAAATATCGCATACTGCTGACTTATTTTTTCATTTTGCGCTTTTCTTTTTGCTCGTTTTGTTAGTAAATAAATCTCTCCTGTGTGCATTTACAGAAAAAACACAATATGATCGTATATACAATATTGCTCAAATAGTAAACCAGAGAGTAAATGGGCTAAACAAGTCAGCCACTATAAACAGAGATCAAACTTCTTAGTTCCAGTGTGAAAAAGACAATTTTATTTGCCAAGACAAACCATAATAAGAACGTTTGTTTTACCATACGAACTTAAATGTTACTAAGTTGTGTGAGTAAACGTCCTTATCAATACTGATAGTGGTGATGGCAATGCTAAATGCTCACAAAATATTTTACACGAATCTTAAGATTTATGTAATTCTAATACATAGTAAATTCCCATTTAAAATTGAAGTTTACATTTTTTGCCTTTTTTTTCCTAATCAACAAGTTATGACTTTGTAAGCATATTTTGTAGATTTATTGTAAATATTAAAGGAATAGTACACCCAAAACATGATTAGCCTTCATTTTCTACTCACCCCCATGCTGAACAACACCCTGGAGTACTTTTTTGATATCTCAAATGCATCTGGAGATCTGGGAGGCTTCTTGCTGTCTGCTGACATTCAAATAATGGAGGTCTATGGCGCCCGAGGCAGAAAGGTCCATAAAAGTCCACAAAAAACGTGTCAATATTCCTCCATACTGCTCGTCCAATGTATTCCAAGTGTCCTGAGTGGGTAGCGTCCAGAATTTACTCGAAACGAAGTCATTTAGAATGTTTTTAGCGCATAAACAGTAGTGTATAGGATTTCCTGAAAGCGCGCACATGCGCGATCACGACGCTACGGAAGCCGGCAGACCAAACCAGATGAAAGTGCGCATTCAGCGTCTGCTCTTCCAATAATGCAAGCGTAGAAGAAGAAATGTGCCGTTTACCTGTGCAAAGAAAGAAACAACGAAAGAAAAATGTCTGAGGACTTCAGTGTTGAGGAAGAGCATGAGTTCTTTGCCGAGCTGAATGCGCTGGTTTGGTCTGCCGGCTTCCGTAGCGTCGCGATCGCGCATGTGCGCGCTTTCAGGATATCCTATACACTACTGTTTATGCTCTAAAAACATTCTAAATGACTTCGTTTCGAGTAAATTCTGGATGCTACCCACTCAGAAAACTTGGAATACATTGGACGAGCAGTATGGAGGAATATTGAAACGTTTTTTGTGGACTTTTATGGACCTTTCTGCCTCGGGCACCATAGACCTCCATTATTTGAATGTCAGTAGACAGCAAGAAGCCTCCCAGATCTCCAGATGCATTTGAGATATCAAAAAAGTACTCCAGAGTGTTGTTCAGCATGGGGGTGAGTAGAAAATGAAGGCTAATCATGTTTTGGGTGTACTATTCCTTTAAGCTTTGTGCAGAGAGCTCTCGTAAAGCTTTATGGGATTTGCTGTCACAGCAGCCCGCTGTCACCATAGGCTGTTGCTACCCCACAGTGCAGACTAATAACAAGGATGGGGCAGGCACCGCATGGTGGAGGACGAGTTAAGTGACCAATGGATTAAAGAGCAATGATCATCTGTCCAAATGGTCAGTTAACTGAGTTTGCTAAAAAGTCCACTAGATAGTCCCCGCTCTATATAGTGATTGAGGGATTTAGGGGTTTTATTGGTTAGGGCGGACGTTCGGACACAGTAAGCTTGTATGACCTATGAGAACAACCACATTTGAACAGAGCATGCATAAGGAGAAATTGGCTCCTGCATGCGCTCACAAGCGCATTTTTTTTAAAGTGGAGAGGGCGGGTCTTTCAAAATATTTGTGAAAAAAATCTCCACACTACCTTTAAGAAAAAAATCTGAACAGGCATTTTCTTTATAAGTACCCAACTAAAATGTCCTTTAACCCTTATGAGAGAATAAGTCATGGTCTTTATACTCTAAACTGAAAAGTTTGTTTGTTGAAAAGGAAAAGGGTACATTTGTTCAAAAGACAACACTATAAGCATTGTTAGTAGAGCCCAAATTATATATAATTGCTGCAGACTAACAAAGAACCCAAAGGAACCCCATTCCTAAGGAGAGGACCCGTTCTTCCGGTTCAATTTGCATATTTTCTAAGCCAAAACAAGGCTTTGGTTTTTTGCTCCACTCTATAAAGCCTTGAACTTAATGCTATTCCTGACATTTTGAATTGAGAAACGTGTTCCAGCTTGAAAACAAAGTCCAACGGATTTTTTTAATATACTTTTTTGGAATGACAGAGTATCATCGTACCTTAGATATGACTTCATTTGGATATACATTACAGCCCAAGTTTATTTACCTATGATATTCTGGCCAATTCAAGGTGAACAGAAAGAGCCTAAAAACACTGGCTAGGTGACTGATGACTTACAGCTCAAACATAGAGCCTGTGGCTGCAGCTATAGCCAGTGTCCAACTGGAGACTAAACTCCAATTAAGTTCTGGCAAGATGAGATCTACTGTATGATAAGGGTTCCAAAAGTCTTTGTTTTAGAAAATTTATAACCAACAAATGTCTCTTATGTGACAGTGCAAGGAATGAGAACATTGTTTTGGGTAAAGGGTGATGCTTATAAGCAACAGCATTAAGAGCAGCATTCAAATAAAAGAGGACCTGCAATAAAGAGCAGAGCAAGAACTTGTCACAGTTAACAGGGAGCTCTCCTATATGATATGGGGTATATGAAGTAATTTATTCAGTTTTGACAAAGCTTATCTTCAGCATAATAAAGGTTTGGTGTTACTAGTGTTGTCAATGTTTGTAGGTAAAAAAAAACAAAAAAAAACAAAAAACAAAAAAAAACAGGGCTGGTTGTGTGGTTTTAATTAAGGTGAAAAGTTTAAGTATACGTAAAGGAAGCTTCTATTATCAAACGGGACATAAGTCAAGACTAAAGCAGGGGGAAGTTGTGGCATAGGTGAGAGAGGAAGGAGAAAATTGAACAACCTACAACACCAACAAGGGTTAATCCAAAGTAAAGCCTCTTTACCACTGAAAATAATGCTTTAACTCAGGTTTTTCCAAACATGGGTCAACCCAATAACAACTGGCATTTGGCTCCCTTCCCACTGGCATAAAAAGCTGTGTCTAACCCCTAGCTGGCAAGCTGTGGCTTCTGTCTCCCCCCAGCTGCATGCCTGGTGACACTATCAAATTGGGTTAGTGTTGAGGATGTCACAAGTGTGACAGAAATCAAGAAAGTAAACAGTGGAGAACATAGCCAGGGCGTTGTAAATGTGGTTTATTGTTTTGCTCTTTTATATTTCCATATCGCTCTCACCCGAACTGCACCATGTTTACAGAGTTGTTTTCAGCTTGTTACATCAGAAGCGGCTGGTAGTGTGTGTTGACCTCCTTATGTTCCGTTCAATAGTGGGTCAACCCGGGTCTACGATTTTAACGCAGGTCACTTGCCAGGTGTTTTGAACCAGGCAGACATGCATCAGTGAGCTGTTCCCACTGCCACTAAAAGCTGATTGTTTACGGGTTTAAACGGGCATTAAATGTGCATTTGTTCTGTTTAGCTTGGAACCCCAAAGTTTCATAGACTTAGAATAGTAAAATCCATTAGAAAATAATTCTGATTGTTCCGGCATCTGCTGGGGGATTTCTTGGTATTTTTTCTGAGGATTTTATATAGCTTATATCAATAAGAAATATATAATGACATTAGTTTTGGCCAAATTGTCCAGCCCTACCTTGAACTATAAACAGTCAGATTGCAATATTACACACATTAATTATGAGAAGAAAACCAGTTAAAATGTTATACAGCCAATAAAACTGCCTGTGAACCATATGAAAAAATACTTCTTTGGTTAGCCCTCTGCAAAACAATCCGATGTCCATCAAGCACCAAAGCAAAGCCAGCTTTCAAATTATCTGTATGTCAGTGAAACTGGACCATTGATCCAAGCACAGAAAGAGACCTGCAGAGTTTAACATGTTACCTGTGAAGGAGTGAAACCCGACATCCTGAAGGCAGAATGAACCAAAGGGACTTCAGTTTTCAGCAGCATCTCCACATAATGAGCCGTGCACCAGTAGACAGGAGTGATTCCTGATTCAGCCACTTTCTGAGGAAAATAGACCTTCCAAGAAAAAAAAAACCCAACAAACCCTATTCATGAATAACAATTTTTTACTTGCTGAGACAGACATAAGAATTTTAGGTTGAATAATTTTTTTGTGTGTGTGTAGGTGTATTCTCATGTGTAATAGTTAATCTGTGTGTGCTCGACAGAGCTGAACATTTTATAAAAGTGAACAAGAAACGCAATGACAAGTTTGCACCTACAGAATCTGTGACCAAATAAGGAATAACCCATCACAACAAGGGACAAGATAAAAGCTGTTTTTTCTGTAAGATTTTAGAGCTATAGAAAGTAAACGTCACTGGGCAATTATTCCCCTGAGGCCATTTTCTTGTTCTGTCCTCTGTTTAGCATTTTCTGTTGTAAACATGTCTAGTTTTTACTTTTGTTGTATAACAAAAAACTGAATAAGACTGAAAGTGGTCACTTGCAAATATCAGTAAGGCCCTGCCTAAGGTTGAGTTGTGCTTAATTCACTTATAATTCGAGCGAAACATTAGCTGCCCATCACAGCACATGCATCTTTAAACCCTTCAAATTAGAATATTTAATCATAAATAATTCAAATAAAAACATTTTTTATTTGTTTATTGTCTAAATGATAAAATAAAAAAAATAATTAAAGTATATCGACAACAAGGTGAAGTGACATCAGCAAAAGGAAAACCTGCAACAAACCTTTCTCATGTAATAAAGGCTTCATCTTATACTTTGGAATGAGACTGAAAAAAGAAATGAATTCACTTTTAGTAGCTACTGTATAAACAGCTTGTGAATGCACAATTTATATGCAACCCATATTGAATGTGTTTGGAAGACTGACAGGAGTTTCAGCGTTCCCTCTTTTCTTCAACATATTTCCACTTTATTCTTAATACTTCAACTTATTCTTTAAATTAGTTTTTAAACTTCATTCTCAATACCTTATCTTAACTCTGTTATAAAGAATAAAAGTCCATCAAAAAAGTCGTTTTTCTCCACCATGTGATGCTGTGTAAGTTGCTGACAGATCTTTAAAAAGAAAAACTGTTTGCACACGGTCTTCTACACCTACCCGTCCTTTGACCTCTAATAAACGAGACTAGATAAATTCGAAGCCTTTTGTTCTAGAAACATTTAATCTCACACTGAAAACTTTTAATTCAATTTAAGCTGTAATTTGAAAAAATTATACTGTAAAGTAAAAAAAAAAACTTCATTGCTGCCAAATACAAATTAAAAATGTCTTTATTTAAATATCTGTATTTAGAAAATATCGTGGACTTTTAGTTGGTGACCCATGACTTCCTGTTTTCTTTGAGTACAACCTGAGAATGCAACCAATTTCTCCAACAAGTCTAGAAAAAGAAACATTGTTATCATTCCACAAAACAAGATGAGGATGGTAGTACATAAGGCAAAGCTTGTTGATGCTAGAAAAGTGTTAAAAGAATGGTATCTTAAGGAAAAGAACTTCAACATTAAATGCTTTATGGATGCCAACTGGTTGTGTGTGAGGCAGGCCAGGAAATTTTTCTGTCTTACTATTAGAAACATAAATTTGCAGTTTGGAAAATTCGGAGACTCTGACAGAAACTGTTTTGTTTGTTTGGATGCTGCCTTCCAATCAGCAGATAAATAGTTGAATTATACCTGAAGCTGAGGGGGGATATGTGAAAATGCTGCCCGGAGCTTGTGGACTCAGCTAGAAGGATGAAAAGGGGTCAAAAAGCTGGTCCTTCAACTGGAAAATAATCCAAAACAAGTGCAAGAGAAAATAAAAACTACTGTTCTGGCGTAAAATCGACCTCATGTCATTTTGCACCATGACTCTGGGCACTCTGTGCAAAAAGGAACAGTAAAAAAAAAAAAAAAAAAACCCTCACTCCATTGCTTCCAACTTGTTAAATATTTACAGGGGTAATCTACATTTCCTGTTGGTACAGTATATGGAGGTTAGTGTTAAGTAATTAATACTAACCTCCATGTAGGTACTTGCAAGGCTTAAATAAACTTAAAAAAGCAACCATTATTAAGTTTTGACCTAATTTAATTCACAGGTACAGCTTGACTTGCTTTTCGTTGGTGAATGTTCTCAAAGGTTCCTACAGCATAAGGCAAGTTAAATTCAAGACTTTTTAAGACTTTTTAATGCCACTGGAAATAAAAATTTAAGACCAAATTTACAAGAAACACAAGAAAACCCGCTTGTGACAACTTAACCCAAAGGTTTATTTTAACATAGACCCTTGCACTAATGATTCAAATTTTGAAAAACTTCCCATACAGGAAGAAAACAAGCAAATGACAGATATATTTTAACAATTATTTAACTGAATTCACAAACTTTGTTTTAGCAGGGAACAAAACAAATCAGTTTTAAAGCCACAACATAACCAGTGCTACGTCTTTTTTGCTGCTATTTTTCTTTGTATCGTTTTCTTAGTATGTTTGATTTGGTGATAAGTGGAGACGTTGCAGAGACAAGGGTGGAACAAAACTGAGAAATACCGCCTGTTTCTCAGTAACTCGATTTTGACGCTTTGTTTTTCGTGTTTCGCATGTGACTCCACTGCCTTAATTCCCATCATTCTGAGCTTGAATGACTTCTTGCACAAAATCCACGGTGCCTCATGTATGTTCCCTGGTTTTAGCCATGGAGAAAACTCTTGGCTGGAGACAATTTTCGTTACATTTACACTTGCTCATATTTTCCAGACAAAAAGTTAATGGTGCATCTCCCAAATGTCCCGGCCGCAACAACCCTTTTATTGGTTCCGCTATCGGGACGGAACAAATAATGGCGAGCCATTATTTTTTTTAAATAAAAAAAAATGTTTTCAATTTTAATGTTTTTTTCAGGTTACAAAAATAAATCGTAATAAAAATAATCCTATTTATGATGTTTTAAAAAATAAGACCTACGAAAGACAAATTTAAGACATTTTAATACCTATTAAGGCCTTAGTTTTATTTTGAAGAATTCAATGCCTTCTAAGACTTTTTAAGGACCCGCGGGAACCCTGTTCTCATGGGAAAAAAAATTAAAGAGAATTTATTCAAATACTGTTTTTTTTGTGTTTTTTTACAGAAACAGATGTATGAAGCAAAATAATTGTAGAAAACTAAACAATAGTGGCACACCTTAATCATTTTATGTTCAAATGGTTCTATTATAATCTGAATATTGAAAGAAATAGTTGAGATTTATCCTTACTGAATGTAGTAAAAATTAACCAGCTACAAAATCTTAAGAGACCTCATCAGCCTCTAATGTAAGAACTGTAAAACAAAACGGATGTTTTCTAGAGTCATTTCAGGTAATGGTTCCGCAGGTGTTACTCACTGAAGCATGTATCCGTGCAGGCCAGATGAACGCTGATAAAAGCAGAGAGGACAGGTTTAGTAACAGTTGCAGAGACCGCTCCATGTTTCCAGCCATGATGAGAAAAACTGTGGAGGCCAGCCAGTCATGGCCTGGATAGTCATACTGCTGACTTACTGTAGAGAAAAGTTAGGGAAGCAACAGGCTAGAATGACAAAGGAAAATGAACAAGAACAAGCATTTTCAAAACAGAAAAAGAGGTAGTTTTATTTGGAAATGCATCTACCGTATTAGTAAAGTATTAACTGCTATTCAAACTTAATAAAATCAAACCACTATAACACCATTTGCTTACTTTTTGCAAGCTTCTAACCAAATTGAAAGATACCATTAGCATGCAGAAATCTTTGATAGGATAAAGCAGTTTTTCATTAAATATAGCCCTAGATGTTTGATGAGTGCATTCAGGCACTACTGCCTTGTTCCATAAAAACAGCCTTGCTCACAACTGTTCGAAACAATCCCATGCCTTACTGTATAAACACCATCCACTTTTATTGCAATTGAGGCTAAAAGCCATAGAATCTATTTATGATAAACATTGGAGCTCATAATTTGGGAAACCTTTGGGTTGAATGTTTTATCAAGGCAACATCGACATCTGATGCCATTTTTTAAGGCTTAAAAAAATGTCCTCTTTTCTCTGCTTTGTTAAAATATTGATTACCTACTACATTCCTAATCATATAAAATGTAAATTACTTAAAATATTTTATTTTTAATTGGAAAGAAATCCTTGGTATTTTATTATTGTCACTTTTTTGTTGTTATCTTTTTCCACCAGAATTCAAAAGATTTACATAGACGTGAAATCCAGCGACGGATGCAATATCCTGCAGCCATTTTAGACTTGCTAATCACCAATCCACTGCATTTCATTGATATTGATTTCAAATGAAACGGTTTAAAAACCCAACTCATGTTTTTCTGATAAAAAAAAAAAAAAAAGACGTAACTATCCAAGAAACCCAACAAGCATCTTGTATTTTAAGTTTCCTTTAAACCAGCAGAACATTTAAATGAATCCTTGGCACCTGCTGAGAGAACCATCTGTTATGATGGCTGGTTAAAATGTCAGATACAGGGAGGATAGATTTCGGTAGCTTAAATGTGAAGAGTCACCGTGACTCATAGCTTTGCCTCATGTTTTATGCATCTGGCATTTATTAACATGCAGGTTTTGATTTTTAAATGACAGAAACTCACTGTGGTATTGTTTTAAATTAACGGGATAGAATATATTTCCTTTACACTTTGGTTCATCATACAGTATATCTTACTGTTTGACATATATTTGAAGATTGCAGGCTAATAACCTACAGAAATCTTTCTTCTATTCTCTTCTATTCTATCTATAAAATTCAGCTTTTTTTTCAGTAAAAAACTAAAAAAGTTTTTTTTCCTCCAACAAAAATATCTATAAAACAGTCAGGATTTATAATTTGGATTTATGAACTAGGAGAAAACACCTGAATTCAGATGTAAAAAACTAGAATAAGCTTGTGAGCTACTTCTGGTCCAACCCCATGACAAACGCATGCTCTTTGAATCTCATTGACAGACAACCCTTGTAAATTTGTAATGAACACTGTCAAGACATCATTTTTAAATAAGGAATCATAAATAAATCAGCGTCCCAGAGGAGAGAAAACACATTTTGATCTACCACCAGGCAGCAACATGAAGGAAGCAGAGCAGCTTTACCCAAAATTGATTAAAATTCTTTCCTCTGAATTAATGGTTTTATTTCTTAATTCCAACTTCTGGTTTAGTTCATTGAGATGTAGAGATTTTAAAGCCTCTGGTTTGTTTCCATACATCAAATAAATACATAGAAAATCACTAATTGCATGTATATTTAAAGTTAGTTAGTAATGTATATACAGAAATTTTAAAGCAGTTAACTTCTCTGCAAAGTCTTTATAATCTTCAGCTTGAATTTTGGGCTTTTTAGTATTTCCAACTTGTCAAAAAATCTTTCATAAAAGTTTTTTGGTTCTTTTGTCCACTTCTGAAGAATGACTGGAGGAGAGATGTGGCTATCAGTTGTCATTTGGGACAAAAGAAGGCTGAACTCCCCGCTGAGACACAGATGGAGAAAGATAAAGCGTATTGTGGTGATCAGACAAACACTGACACTGAAATCTTTCAAAGGCGAAATTGGTGGCGTTACCAGCACAACACTGCGCCCACTCAGACTTGTGTTGGTGACTTGTTGTTTATTATGGGGATTTTAATGTTAACATGGATAAAATATGCAGCCATTACAACATGAAAATGCTCTGAACTTTTATTCTAGGCTTTAATGTAGCTACATGTTAACAGATTCTGCCATTCTTTTGTTTTTTCGAAACGTTTTCAGCTGATGCTGCTAATTCATAGATTATAAGGAAAAGCAACCAAATCTATAAAAGAAGGGGATTTGGCAGTTTGCATCTTTGTTACTTGCAGGGATGTGTTAAAACAGTGAAAAGACATCAACGATGGAATTTAACGAAGTAAATGATCTGAAGGTCAAAGAGCTCCATCTTTCACTACACTCTAATGCCGTTCCTACTCTGTAAGATTTAGGAATATTCTGTTACTCTATGGGACAAGGAAATTTGATGAGTGCACTATAAGTGGTGACTTCCAATTTCTTTAATAATAAAGCGTGATTGATGACAATAAAGAATCGTATACGGATGAATATGTTCAATCAAACATCAACGGATCGACTAAATATCTTGGTATGGGCTGCAATAAAAACTCAGTGGTCTGTGACTGGCCTACAATCCAACATGCACTCAGCTGATCATGAAGATGCAGAGCAGCTGTGACGTGTCACAGCTTGATTGTTCCAGGGAGGACAGGTTATCCCAGATGGAATCCAAAACCTGTCCGTTTTTTCTTTTATTTTTTCTGGCAGCACCGTTCAGGACCTGCTGAACCTCTCCTGCCAAATTTCTCTCCCTCTATATGTTCTGGCAGTTCTATTTTCCAATTATTCTTATAGTTGATGAATTAAGACATTTTATAGATCCCTGTTTTATATAACACAATATATGTAATGATCTTGGTTCTGTTGTTTTTCTTTAAGTTTTCTGTTTCAAGTTTAGCCAGGTTTTTCATTGATTTCTAGCTTTTTTTGGTGTGTCTGGATTCATTTAAGTTGCTTAGGTTTTTCTGTCTGTCCCCTGCTGCCTCCTTGTGTTCTTTTCCCTTGGCTTCCTCGTCAGCTCTAATCACACCTGTTCCCTATCAGCTCATTAGCTCTACCTTTGTTCAGTCAGCCATAAATACACTCCCTCTGCAGTCCCTCTTTGCTGGTTCCTCGTCTTACCTTTCCTCACCCTGGCTCCTTGTTGGTTTTTCCCTGATGTCTCCATGGTTCTGGTTAGTGTTTGATTTTTATGTTGGATTTTTGGATTCCTGTTTTTGTTTAACATTTTTTAAGTTGGATTTTTGGATACCTGTTTTTGTTGCCTGATCTTGTAATAAACCCTCCAAGAATTCACCTCTGCCTCCCAGCTTCTGCGTTTGGGTCCAATCTAAACCTTTTAACCAAATCGTGACAATATATTAGTCTCTCCTGTGAATCATGCAGAATCCTGGCATTACAGTACATTGCCTTGCATTCTTCTTCTGTGGTCCATCCCATTTATTTTTAGCCGAATTGATTACTGCAACGGTGTTTTCACAGGTCTGCCTAAAAAGTGGATCAGACAGCTGCAGCTGATCCAGAACGCTGCTGCCCGTGTCCTCACTAAGACTAAGAAAGTAGAGCACATCACCCCAGTTCTAAAGTCCTTACACTGGCTCCCTGTATTTCAGAGAATAGACTTTAAAATACTTCTGTTAGTCTAGAAATCTCTGAATGGCTTAGCACCTAAATACATCACAGACTTGCTATCAGTTTATCAACCCTCCAGACCACTCAGGTCTTCTGGCTTCAGCCTGCTCTGCATACCTAGAACCAGAACTAAACATGGAGAAGCAGCATTTAGTTCCTATGCTCCACTTATCTGGAACAAACTTCCAGAAAACTGTAAAAGTGCGGAAAGCCTGAGTTCCTTTAAATCAAGACTAAAAACACATTTGTTTAGGATTGCCTTCGACTGTTCTAGTTAAACAGTTCAACTAAATCATATTTTCTTTAGTCCAACAGTTTTTAATATTATTTTTTGTTTCTGCATTTTTTATCTTATTTTATCTATTTTTTTTTTCCTACTTGCTTTGATTCTATTTTATCTTCCTGTATTTTAATCATGTAAAGCACTTTGCATTGTCTTTGTACTAAATTGTTCTATACAGATAAATTTGCCTCGCCTAGCCTTAAAGCAGCTGCTTTCCTATTGGCTGATCAGTGAACGTAGGTCTAAGAAGCTGTCAGTCATTACGGCTCATCTTTGATCCCATGATGCTGATTAATGACACCTGCCTTATTATGCAACACAAGACTGCAGGTTTAGAGCCATGACTAAATATTTCCTAAGATTTTTCTACATCCCTCATCTTTCATCTGCAATGTCCGATAAGCACATTGTATGTAACTGGCATTAGAGTTGAGGACAGAAAAATTAGAAACAGACTAAATGAGGACCAGCCTGTTTGGAAGGGTTTGAAGGTGAAAACCTTCTCATCAATAAATCCAGCACAAGTCAGGTCAGTAAAGTTGAACCTGAAGACTTCTGCACTCATCTCATTTTGTATGATGAGACTAAATTACAGATGTCTCTTCATTTTGAAGATAGCCATTCAGGAGGCTAAATACTGCATGTCATCTTGGGGTAACCTTCATTTGGTTGTGGATTTGTTGCCGTCTTTGGTTCTCATTAACCGGCCTCTTGGAACTTTTCAGTTTCGTCAACCTTAATCTCCTCCCAATAACTAATTATTCATTTTGCAAAAAGAAAAAAAGAGGCCGGTTAATGAGAACCAAAGACGGCAACAAATCCACAACCAAATGAAGGCTTAGAGGTTAGAGAGACAGGTTATGTGTCCTATTTTGTGTTTCCATTTAACTGAAATCTGAATTTTAGGTGAAGTTGTAAAAGTAAGAAAAAAATTAAATCAGAATTATCACTGTTTCTATTCGGTTCAAAGCCATTTAACCAAGCACCACAAATCATGCATGGCTGTAATAAAGAGGATGTAGAGGCTGCAATCTAACACTGACCAAGTTCCTGATGATGTGGTACACAACCAGCAAAAAAACATTTGTATCCTTTATTTTTTTTTAAACCTTTGAAAACTTAAGGTACTTATTTTATTTTATGATTTAACTGGATGATTACAGAGCCCCAAGAACAAAATAGCAAACCTGTACACCGATCCTTACTTTCCGCACTGTTTTAAAGGATACTAAGACCTGATGATGTTTTAACTCTTTGTGTTGACAGGTAGGTCTTTATGTGTTTCATTAGCAGCTCCAAGTCACTCATTGAATCTTCCTGCAGTATCTGTAGGGAGCAGCCATACCTGAGAAAAACACAAGGAGACAAAATAATTTGAAAAAAATAAATATAAAAATCATATTCTTACCTTTTTTGCTTCTTACCCATATAAAGATATCGAGTTTACTGCTTAACTACACTTTCATCAGAAATTCATCACATTTTCATTTCCGCACCCTTTTTGAAAGACTAAAAATCAAACTGAAGTACTGTGAAAGTCTCTAACAGCTCTCAGAGCTGGTATTGTATTTCAGGCACATAACCCCCTGATGACTACTCAAATCATAGTCATATTACAGAGCAGAACAGGTTCTATCAAGGTGAGAGAAATGGATCCACCAGGGCCCAAAAAGCCCAGAAGGACTCCTTAAATCCACACCGCCCAAGTCCCGGCAAAAAATAATTTTTGCAAATTGATTAACAGTGATAAATTTAGGTCCTTAAAAATGTCCTTGTGTCGAAATAGTTATGTTTTATAAAAATACACCCCAGTAAAATTATTTTTTAAAGCACAGCCTAGGCTACAACACTTTCTTTAGATGGGTTTTAAGACATTAACAGGAGTTCAAACCTCATATGAAATAGTGGGTTTTCCTACATCTCTTTCTTTAGTTATCTACAAAGCAAACCTATTTAACAGTTTGTCAAGGTGAAAGATAACATCTCAATAAACTGTTTACAGCTCCAAACTGTATGACTAAATCTACTTTGTAAGTCAATGGTAACATGATAACTGCTTCTCCATGATGCCCATATCTACACATTTTATGTCTATAAATGGGACAAAGGCTGGAAGAGGACAGGGGAGATGGAACAGGGATTAAAACATTTGTGAATGCTGGCTTATGACCAGGAAATAGAGTAAACAAAATTACCGAATAGTCAACACGATCTTCATGGCGACTGGCCGGTTTAGGAGTCGGTCAAACCAGAAATGTAATGCGTTTGGGAATGCTGGCCTATCGGTTCGAGAGTGCTGGTTTTGCATCTTGGAGAGGGGGTACGATAGATTCAAAAAACAGACTTGGGGCCTGGCGAAGCACATGGTGCATGTATAGCAGACATGCCGAAAGCCTGATTTTCATTGATGGCTAATTAACAGTCTTTTGCTGAACTGGAAATCATCAGAATCAGCTGTGCTGAAGCAGAGAAACCGCTAAAACCTACAGTAGTAGCCATTCAAAATGTCCCTGCTTTCCTTGATGGGCCTTGGCTGGTCACAATTCTGGTCTACAATTCCTTTTTAAACATCAATATTTGTATGCTGATGAAGATTCTAAGTCATCCAGGTCATAGTCATTCCGTAAAAGTTCAAAAAAATCCACTGGACTTGGTTTCCAAGATTTGAAGACGTTTCGCCACCTCTCCAGTAAGCTTTCTCAATTCAAATGTCTGGATTCGCAGTGAGTTTGAGTCTTATATAGACAAAGCCTTGTATCGCTTGGAAACATGTAAATGGAAACCGATGAGTGGGTCGTTTGGTTTCATTGCTAGCCTGTAGTATCTGAAACCTGTGTATGATTCTGAAGGTCGTTCGTTAAAGGGGGGGATTTTGTTTTTAGATTTAGTTTTTTGAACTTTTACGGAATCAACATTTTTACTAAGATATTCTTTCTGTCATGATTTGTGGACGTTAAGATCGAAAGAGAAGCGCCTTCTCCTTTTCAGACCTTATAATTTAGTGAAAGGGAGGAGTCAGAGTAAAAAAAAAATGTGATGCCCTGGCAGAGGGTGTCACTCCAGTGGCTGGAAGTTGGAGGGTATACTGCTGGGAGTTGCAGGGAAGTGGGCTGCCATTTGGCTGGCGTTTGACTGGGAAGGGCCATTTTGAATGGCTACTACTGTATAGGACAGCGGTCCTCACGAACCGACATTGGGCATGCCTGGTGTATAGCAAGGGAAGCAGACTCTGACCTAGAGCTGGGCGATATGGCGATATATATCGTGAGGACGAGAGAAACATGTCTATCGTGACCTTTCTCCTCTATTTTTTCTATCGTGATAAACTTTTTCACTGTTCACTCTCATGGCCGCAAATTGCATAACTGGTGTTCTTGGTTTGAGGTTGGGATTCTCATATTAGGAAACAAGATGATGGGTAAAAAATAGGCGATGAAAGATTTTTTTCAACCCTGTCCATCTGACGGACTATGAAAACATAAAATGCAACATCAGTTGTGGTATATCGTGATATATATCGTTATCGTGATATAAAATAATCCATATCGTGATATAGTTTTTTTTCCATATCGCCCAGCCCTACTCTGACCTACACGTTCAATAAAACACTAGGATAAACAATAAACTTTAACCCTTGTAGGAGCTCAGGAAAAACAAGGATGCTTGTGACATTGAGGGACACACGTGACTATACAGCTCTTCATGAAAGTAAAAAAAAGGTCTCTGAAAATGACCTTTCACCAGCCTCACCACTTATAACCCATTCCATAATCTTTATTTTAGCTGGAAAGTTTCCCTTATATCTAGTATGTAATAAAATCTTTACCTATTCTGCTTAAGGTGCATGGTACGCTGGTTGGTCATGAAATGGAAAGCTGCTTGTATTCTGATTGACAGCCAGCCAAACTCCATGGCAGTGACTGCAGCTTTATTTACATTTTTAAAAAGTGCCTGTTAAATATATATTTTTTTACATTTCATGATCTGACCTGTGGGCCATCATTTTGTGTGACAGAAGTGAAAATGCCTCACAGTCCTGCATAGATCGGGATCTGCTCACCCTAAGCGTAGCAGGAGCAACACTGCAGGCATTGACGGGGGGAGAATTTGACACTGGCTGAATGCTCGGGTCAAAAATGCTGGTAAATGCCTTCTTGGGGAACTGATAAACATATAGAACAATTTCAATCTAAATAAAGTTTTTTTTATAATTATACTAAACTTGCCTAACAAAGTTTAACTATTGGGACTTTAACTCTGTGTTTTGGTCAGAAGAGTCTAAAGTTGACCATCTTAGGAACAAATCCTCAAAGTTAATTTGGTGTGAAATAAAGTATGACTACGGGGAAGTGCACCTCATGCCCCATCATCAAGTTTGAACCTGTGGTGTGCTGGGCTTTTTTCCTCACTTCTCATTAAAAGTTTAGGAACCTCTTTATATCACAGTAAATGCCATCTTCAACCTTAGGAGGTTGAAATGGATCCCAAGAACCTAGACCTATAGGAGATGATTATTTTAATGAACTAAAGTTAAAAATCAACAACACTCCGAAGATTAAAGGGCATCAAAAAAGACATGGAGGAGAGTTTTTAAAACAAGACTCAGAAGAAAACGGTAAAAGAGACTTGAAAAACAGACCTTTAAAATTTGGCAGCAAAAATCAGGTCTTTAAATTAACAGAAATAAGAACGTGTTTGATGATTACATAATTTGCTCTGTTTGCACTTCTCAAATATATTTATGAACAGGATTTTGGAGGATTTACTTTGCATAAGAATGCAAACCTGTTAAGATTTAGATGGCTAGAGGTAGAGCTTCACTGGCTGGCAGTAGCATCATTGAGAAAAAATAAATACATTTCAGATATCGCTTGCCTAATTAAAAGAAGTGGGTTAAGTCTTCAATAACATTCTATTAAATGAATTAAATGTAGGTGCTTCATATAAAAACATTTTATCACTCAACAGGATAGAGCAGTTTGGTTTCCTTTCAAACTTCTACAATAACTAGAGCAACGTCCTTTTCCACGTACCTCAAGCATATATTGATGCCCAGCTGCTCCACAGATGATAACGCAACACTCTTCACATTTTTCTCCTCCGCTGTGACACAAAACAATTAAAAAGACACGTGAGAGTCACAATTAATGATCGTCTCCTAGAAGGAGGAATAGAAAGGAAACACTTTCACCTAACTGGTTAAGATTTGACCATGATGAATGGCGGAAACATGACAGCAAATCATGAATTACTGCTTTAACGGTGCTGGAGACTTGACAGTGTGTCTAAGCGGGTTTGTGCTTTGCCGTTTTGGAGGCAGTTGTTGGCGAGGTAGCGTAGTATCAAGGTGACTCAGGTAATTTCACCAGCAGTCATTCATGGATAATTTCACAGCGGCATTTTGAGGTTTCTGTGAAGCAGCGCTGTAGCGTTGATTTCGTAGTGGTGGCAGTTTGAGGGTAAAACATGGAATTACTAATTTTTCACCGCAGGAACCTCTTTATCAAAAGATTTATTTTCTTTTTTTATGTGCAAGAGTCAACAGGCACTTAAGTCTCCTGCAGAGTCTGCAAAAAAAGCCCTAAATGTTTAGTTGTCAAGAGGTTCTTATTAGGAGCCATAATCATTAAAACATATTAGTTTTTGGAAATGCAAGTTTAATAGTCTGAAGACTTCAATAATCATGAAATAAATGGGAAAAAGACACTTTCACTTGAAAAATTTTGCAGCCATATCCTGACTTTTGGGAAACATAATATCATAAGTTAACAGATGAATCTTCTGCTGCAGATAGTTTGTAGTCTGATCATGAGGAAAACTTAATTAATTCAAAACATCATCATCCAGAAGTGAAAAGCTCACATTCAATCTACAGAGGGATGAATGGTGCAAAGAAAAGCATCAGTCAAAAGATAAAACGTTCACCAGAATTTGCATATCAGAGTGATCAATCAATGCTGTTACCATCAGGCAGGAGAACATTAATCACAGGCCATCCAATCTTGTATTAATTTCGAGAACTTTCTGTTTTGCTCTTCACCCTTCCCTCCTTACATATTAACAACTCTGAAATCCTCATACTGATGGCAATTACCATCTAATGGAGACAAATCTTCTCGTCATTTCTATTCCCCCTCTAATCTCCTCCGCGTTGTGCCCCCAGAGTCTACTTTACAGCCTGTAATAACCGCAATAACAAATATTAAACTTTTGTTTAAAAGAGCCACCATAAAAGGTGTTGCAGGCAATTTATCTCCTATATTAGCTGTGACTACTATTACTAGTTGTAACTGCAGAACTTATGAAGAGTAATATTGGCAACCTGCAGCTTCGAGCTGATTTAGTCCCCAGTCTTTCTACAATTTTGTTCTTCAGATAAATTAAAAAAGTAATATTGAAAATAATGAATCCTGCAGAATTTGAAAGGAAGGAGTTGTGGCCATGAGGAAAATTAAGAAGCAGATATGCACAAATTATGCACAACAATACACCCCCTAATGTGTGGAGCCTTGGAATCAATTTTAAAATAACTAAGCAGGAGGAAATTGCATGTCCCCCCCCCCCCCAGTTAAACTCCTGCAAGTCCTGAAACTGAAGTGAGTCTGTCAGAGAAGAGTGTTTTCTCTTCAGCAGGGTTTTTATGTTTAGGCAGCAAATTAAGTGGTCCAAGAAAAATGGTAGAAAAGCAGCAACATTAATAGTGTATTTTTAGAACAACTAAAGGCCTGAAAAAAAGACTGGCCAAAAAAAAACTATGAGGAAAAAATACAAAATAATCGGTTTCATTTGTTAATTTATCATAGTACAAGCAGAAAAACAGAACATGAAACAGCTTTATTTTATCTGGAATTAAGCTCCATCAAAATATTTCTGCCCAGTTGTTAGTACCAACACACATTTGTGTTACCAAGTTACCCATTTGTGATCAAGACCTTCGCTTAATATAAATATATATCAAGGTACAATTTAATTGACATATTTTGATTTCTTTTTCATGATGTTTTTTCGCCACTATAGGCATTTAGATTCATCTCCAACCGTACCTTCCAACTTTTATCAGGGTTTTTTTTCCTCTTAATTTTCTGGACTTCCTTAAGACTTTTAAGGATGCTCTTTTCTCTCCAAGGTGATTTTTGTTTTGCCTGTGTGCTATATATGTTGATTCTAATGGTGCGTTCACACCAACTGTGGTGCCCACAGCAAGAGTGCTCGATTTAAATACTATCCCTTTGAATAAGGCATGGGAAAGCGTGGTAAAGAGGCCAGTGATGAATTCAGTCATTGGTTGACTGGTTGTGTTTGTGACATAGATTGAAGGAGTGCAGCCAAGATGAAGCTTTTTTTTTTTTCAACGGAATATAGAGAAAATGATGTTGGCACAGGATGATGTAATTATTTTTTAGGTGGCTTTTAAAAAAGGTATTCTTAAAATTGCTGAATCATTCATCCTTCGTCTCCCTAGCTCCGGCCAGCAGCTGCCTCTCCCCAGCAGTCCTGCTCTCTGGCCTGCTGAACAAAGGGAAGTACAGCTGATGCAACCATCATCCAGATGCAGCTCTTGGAGTCAGTGGTGAAACTTTTTCAGACACTAGAGATTTCAATAGACCCATAGACATTGATGCAGACAATGGCTTTCCATTGAAAAACGAGCTCTGGATCCCTATCAATAAAATACTGACCCACACAGATGGGAAGTAACAAAGTACAAATACTTCGCTACTGTACTCACATAGATTTTTCTGATATTTTTACTTTACTTTACTACTTACTTTTATGGCGACTTTTTACTTCTACTCCTTACATTTTTACACAAATATCTGTACTTTCTACTCCTTACATTTTAAAAAATTGGCTCGTTACTTTAGTTTTGAATCATTTCAATGGAGTTACCGTTATTATTTTTCACGTCATCAATACCAAATTCAATCTAATTGGATGGGAATCTACGTTGCATTTGACGCACCACTACAAGATGAATCGACAGATTCAGCGGTATTCATTTCGGCAGCAAATCATTGCAGCTTGGTGGCGGTGGCGTTAGCATAGTAGTATGGACGACGAGATGATTGAAAATGAACAGAACGGAGATCTAGTCCTATTGCCAGACATCCATTTAAAATGTAGGCAACGGCATGAAAAAAGTGGTTTCTACTTTTACTTTTATATTTTAAGTAAATTTACAAGCCTGTACTTTGTTACTTTTACTTGAGTAAAGAAGTTTAATCAGTACTTCCACTTTTACCAGAGTATTTTTTAACACAAGTATCTGTACTTTTACTCAAGTACGGAAAGTGAGTACTTTTGCCATCTCTGCTGACCCAACATGTTGAGTTGAAGCTTGGTAGCAGATAGAAGCTCAAGCTCCTCCTATTTGATGACGATGTATGTGGTGAGCACGTTGAAACTATAGCAGAAATTATAGCAAATGCTGCAGTCATTGTGAACACACCATTAGTCTTAACAAAAATGTCATTATCTGTGAGTATTGACAGGTTCTTGGTTCTTTTTTAACTAAAGTCGTTTCTCACCTCCTCCTTATTGTGTTTTCTCCCACTGAGAACTTAAACTTATTTGTTTTGTACCTTTTTTCTTAGAACACACCCAGTGCAACAATGTTTGACACCCACTGGTTAAGATTATTAAAACCTTTCAAATCCATTCATCCATTTTTCGTTACGCTTATCCCTGCTGGGGTCGTGATTGATGCTGGTGCCTTTCACTCTTCCAAATATAAGTGGGAACATTTTTGTAAGATATTTTAAGAGATGTAAGGAGAAGTGGCAGACTGCTGGTAGAAGTATGTTATTCTTCAGTTTCAGCAGAGAAATTATCTTGACTTATAAAAAAAAAAAAAGACAAACAAAAAAAATAAAATTGAGAACTTCACTTAGCCCTTAACCTTTAGATGTTGGATAACATCTGAAGGCTGTTCCCCTGACATCTCTGTTTGATGAGATCTAAATCAATCTGAGAGAAAAACAGACACGGAAGAGAGAAAAAAAAAAAGAATAAAACGTCCTGATGGACTGTGAGGGAATTTAGAGAAAAGCTAAAACAAAGCAAACACTTAGAATTAAGACTTCTAATCCAGGCTTGATGGGGACAGAGCTTTGTTCTGGCAGTTATAAAGAGTGCATGAATAAGAGAGTTAATGCACTGAAGAAAAATGTTTTTGTCTAAGGAGTGATGAAAAAAAGTCTATTGAAATATACATAAACCAAAGCAGACAGAAGACATTCTATATCCTTTCAGTCCCTGGTATTCATTATTTATACTGGATTTTTAACAAGAATACTTGACATTATGCCTGACATTGCATGACATCTAACCGAATTCTTTTAAAATTCTTCTGTTTTGAAACATATTGAAAGTTATTTTTAAAACAAAAGCCAGTCATTTTCCTACTTCCTCATTTTAACTTCTCCAGTTCTAGTTGCTGCATACAACACCAGAAACAATCACATTAATAGATTTATAAAACAACTTTCAACTAATCGAGTGATTGAATTACTGTATAATCATGATCATATACTGATCCCTAAACATGAAATTTGCTAAAAGAGCAACCCCCTAAAAATGTCATATTTAAACCAAAAACTGTATAACTACTAAACAATATGCATTATATAAAAGATTGAAACTTTATTTTGTCTGTGAATATGTTATATCCAGGACTGCTCAAGTGGCATTTCCAAGTGTTTTTGTGTTTTAACAATGTAAAATACATTTACAAAAGTGTAATCAGTGTTTTAAGCCAAACTCTATTTATTCATTTTATAGTAAAACCCATCTGTATATTATGCTATTGTACATAACTGTAAAAACCTCTTTTTTAATAGTAATATCCATCTATATATTATATTCATTATTTATAATAGTATTCATCTCTATACTCATTCAGTAGAAATACCCATGTCCTGTATTTATAGAACCATTATTTATCCTGCACTTGCTGCTATTGCACTTCTGGTTAGACCTAACCTGCATTTTGTTGCCTTGTACCTGTACATGTGTAACGACAATAAAGTTGAATCTAATCTAAATCTAATCTAAAAATACACCTTCTTATTGAGGTATGTAAAGTTACTAAGAATATGTATATA